ATATCTGTATATAATATATATATATGCATATGTGAACATATATCTGTATATAATATATATATATATGCATGTGAACATATATCTGTATATAATATATATATGCATATGTGAACATATATCTGTATATATATATATATATGCATATGTGAACATATATATATATATATATATATATGCATATGTGAACATATATATCTGTATATAATATATATATGCATATGTGAACATATATCTGTATATAATATATATATATATGCATATGTGAACATATATATATATATGCATATATATACATATATCTGTATATATATATATATATGCATATGTGAACATATATCTGTATATAATATATATATATATATGTGAATATATATCTGTATATAATATATATATGCATATGTGAATATATATCTGTATATAATATATATATATATATGAATATATATATCTATATATATATATATATATATATATATATATATATATATATATATATATATATATATATACATGAATTATTCACAAAAACTAATGCAAAGATAATGATTTAAATGGCGAGACATCCATCATCGCAAACAATTCAAATAGTATACAAAAAACTCCAGATCCATTATGAATGAATTGATCCTTGTTTATATAAATTTCTGCCGTATTAGTTGTTATTTTACTACAAGCTTTCGTCTTTTCTTACAGACATCTTCAGGTATAGAATAGATATTGTTCTTGTTTTTTTTCTTAGCAATAAGAGGACAAGGAAAATATGTGTTGTTGTATACATATATATATATACATATACATATATATATATATACACACACATATGTACATACATATGTATGTATGTGTACATACACATACATATATATATATACACACACACATGCATATGTATACACACATACATATATATATACACACATACATATATATATATATATACATGCATATACACACACACACATATATATATATATACACACACACATACATATATATATACACACATACATATATATATATATATACACACATATATATATATATACATATATATACATATATATATATATATATATATATATATATATATATATATACATATTTATATATAATACACATTTTTTGGCATATATATATATATATATACACAGCCAGCATACATATATATATATATATATATATACATACATATATATATATAAAATTTATATATATACACATATATATATATATACATCTTATATATATATATATATATATATATATATATATATATACACATATATATTATATATATATATATACATATACATATATATATACATATATATAAGACATATATATAAAATATATATATTATTTTTGTACATATATCCGGGGTTGAATTTATTATAACATAATGTCAATATATTTATATATTGTTATATTTTAAAGAAATACATATATTTCTGTCAAAAGAAATTACACAAAAAACATATAAGAGAGAGAGAGAATGAAAGAAATACATATATAAATGAATTCAATCATATATTAGTCCCTTTTGTGGAGAAAAGATGTTACAATTTTTTTATTTCTTGTTAAGAATTCTGCTGTTTTAAATAACCAGCTTCTATTTTGGTTTTATAATCTTATTTAAAGTAAAACAGGATAGATATGAAATTTTAACTTATATACTTGTTTGTACTACTGCTAGTAGTGGTGGTGGTATATTCTACTTAATTGGGACACACAAAAAGCAATAAGATTAATTTTAAAATTTATTTAAATTAATTTCAACTGCCCCCTAAATTATGCTGCAACAAGTTATTGTTCCAATATATATTTCTGTTGAAAATAGTGCAAGTAATGGTTGCTGAAAACATACATCAGAGAAAAAGCAAGAAATTAAATGTAAAATAAAATTATAAAAAAACAAAAGGTATATTTACAAAACAAGATATTAATCCTGCATTATTTAATAATATATTATGTTGCCAGTTTTGCCTCAATTTGATATAAAAAATGCTACTCTAATTAAAATGAAAAAAAGAATTTACTCAGATGAAAATAAATTTTTGTTCAGGGAAAGTGCTTGGAAATTGGAAAACAACTAGATCATCATTGTTTTGAACAGTTAATTTCAAATCATAAACCGCAAGCCACTCCTACTGTTCCCTAATTCCATTTTTGATTCTTGGCAGATCTTCTATTTGCATTATTTTGGTTTATTTTTATAACAAAAAAATTATAATGATATATGTAAATTCTTCAGTTCTCAAAAAAAATGGCTTTTACTTGCAATCTCTAAAGGTGAGAGTCAAAAGAGATAACAAAAAAAGGAAAGAAGACCCAAAGGATAAAGAACAATAAAAGGAACCAGAACAAGAAAAAATTGGCAACAAGACAAGTAAAGAGAACCAGACAACAAGTGGCGTGCTCTCCTCAAAATAATTAGAATATCCCACACCCATGCCTCATTAATGTTATGGAATTTGTGAAGTACACTCACCTAGTTAAGGAGGTGGGTTACTGATATATCTGCCCAAATTGGAAGCCATCAAAAAATTTTTTTTCTTTTAGGTTGACAGATAAAAACCAATTATCAAGTTCATGAAAGATTATGTAATTAAATCACTATCAAGTATGGATATTTAGGTACGGCAGGCCATAAAAAGCATAACCTTTTCCATGTAGGATATTTGTTGTCCACACCAGAAGAATGTTTAACCCTGGCCAAGAAAGACCTTTACTTAATAAAAAAAACATTCTGTATAGAATACCAGGTCCAATAGCAGAGACAAGGATGGTAATTTTTGAGACTCCTAGCTTTGTGTTAGGTACTTGTTTGTCTGTGTTCTTCCTGCAAATGTGTAGGGAGTGGCACTTTGACCTGATCATCAACAGAAAATTCTTCTGTGCCATTCCTAACTGTTCTTTGAAGGCTGGAATATGCAGGTTTATGCTCTTGTCAGCATATTTTAATAGTTAAGGGGTGTCTCTTATCTGGTAAACTGTTCTTTGAGTACAACTTGTCACTTGTCTTCGCAGATCTTGCAGGGAGATTGCATGTGACCCAACAACAATTGGGAGGACTCTGCCTTTTTTTTTGTCAGAATTACTTTTTCCTGATACTGTTGAAGCAGGTAGTTTTAGTTGGTGATTGGAATTGTTTTCTTGATTACAATCTAAACTGCAATGATGATGGTAAATGTACTAATATTCCTTTAGATGTAGAAAATATTTTGTGAATTTATTAACAAATGTGAAACACTATCTTGAAATTAAATTTAAGATTGAGAGAGCAAGGCTGTCTTCAGACTTCTGCAAATGGTAGGTAAATGTGAGACAGTTGTGTTATGGGATAAAAGCTGACTTAGATTGGCATCTTGAAGTGATCGGTTAGAGATTTTGCACTACAAAGACCTGATGAATAGTGTTGTCTTTCTTTTGGGTAGTCAGTTTAAGTTACTTATGGAATGTATGCTCATTAATTTTTTTCTTTTACTATATTTATCTCACATCATTTTTCAACTGTTTAACTTTTTTCTTCTGCTCTTTCTCTGTGACATGTGGGTTACATATTAACACATTTTGTAAATGTATTTTGTTGCATTTAAAGCATTGGGAAAAATGTTTAAACTGTTATATAGGAAACATTTATTTTATTCCCTTCTCCACATGAGATTGTAAATATTGGCTCAGTTAAAATTTTTATACACAGAATGCAACATTTTGGTAATTGTTGTATAGAAGATTTAAAATAAATGTGATGATGTGAAAGAAATAATGAAGATTTTTGGGGTCAGTAAATACAACTAGCTAAGTTAATGATAGGATAATAAAAACCTATAACTTCTCTTTTCCCCAGTGTTCAAGTCCCATGGCAATATTCTTATTTTTGAAATCATGACAAAGACCAAACAGCATTGTGATGACTTAAAAAAGAAAGTGATAGAGGTTTATCAATCCAGGGAAGGATATAAGAAAATTCCAGAGCAGTTTAATATATCCTGTTTCACTGTATTATCTATCATACATAAATGGCAAGAAATTGGTATGGTATCAATACTTCCAAGAGTGAGTCATTCAAGCAAGATTTCAACATGATTGATTCATTCATTTTTATGTCATATCAACATTTTGAAGGTTATTTAAAGGCAGAAAATATTTTTAAATTCTAAGAATTTTTTATTTATTTTGCAGATAATGGTTTAGTGGTAAAAGTTTTACTAATTAACCCATAGATGAGGGGAGAAGAAGTGGATTCATACCTTTCCCAAGAGTATTTGCACATAAGTGAATATAACAAACCTAACGGGACTTGGAACTTGGCTCTCCAATTAACAATTCCAAGCCATTATCCATTACACCGCCTGCACATCCAAGCTTACAGCACTTAGTATACCCCAGTAGTCACCCATCTGAGCAGGCTCATTGTTGCTTAACAGAAGTGATTGTATGGGAACTGGTATTTCAACGTAATGTGGCTGTAAGCCCATTTGAACATGAAAGCTGACTAAAATCAGCAGTGAAGTTTTAGTCAACTCAAAATTGACCGTAAAGGATACTAAAGCAGATGTAAAAATGCTGTAACATGTCTCAACAATTTGTAGGAAAATGAACTGACAAAAATTTTGTGGATGATAATGATGAGATTAGCTGTTCCCTTACAAAGAGGCACAGTACAGCAATGGATAGTGGCTTAGACTGGGGAAGCATAGAGTCAAGTTTGAATTCCTGTCAAGTTCACATACATGCTAATACCCTTAGTTGCTTGATTGATTTTATTTTTTTACAGCTTAACTTTTTTGAGGTTATTTAAAGCTGAAACATATTTTTGGATTGTAAGAGCTTTCTGGAGATAATAATGATTTTCTGATAAAAGTCTTACTATTTAATCCATAGCTGGGAGGAGAAGAGGTGAATTCATACCTTTTCCAAACCTGATGAGAATTCAAACTCGACCTGCCAATTTTTTTTATTCTGAGCCTTTATCTATTACATCATCCACACATTCAAGTTTACAGCACCTGGTATTCCTGAGCAGTCACCCATCTAAGTATTGACCAGGTTCAATGTTGCTTAACTGCGGTGATCAGATGAGAACCAGTGTTTCAACGTGATATGGTTGGGAAAGGTATGAATCTATCTATTCTCCACCCAGCAGCCTTGGTTTTCAACCAGTCTAGGAGAAGGACAATTTTGAATTCAAAACTATAATCCAGCTATGAAATTACTGTTGGATGAAATATATGAAATCTTTTGCTTAAAACAGTTATTCAGGAAAATAGACTTTTTAAGTTCACTATCTGTTATCACTATTTTTAATAATGATGGGGGTTTCCTTACTAAACTTTATTTACAGTAGTGTGGAAAGTCAACATATTGATTAAATGTGCTATCCATTTTAGTTGTTGCTGCTGTTGAAAGTCTTCAAGTGATATGGTATCTATTATTTGGTAAAGATTTTAAAGTTTGTGATTCTGTAGTGCCAGTCTATGAGATCTGATGAAGGACAGTTCTTATCAAGACACAGAGTTCATTCACTTGAATCTATTTTAATCACTGAAAAAGCTACTACTGAAGTAAAATCACTGAACAATCTATTACTGAAGAAAACATATGCAAAGGCTTATTTAGCATTTGCTAAAATGATTTGGGATCAGTCAAATAATTACTAGCAATTTTGATCAAAAAACAGAAATTTAATTTTTAGGACATTATCAACAATGTTATATTTAGACTTTGGTTTGGTTTGGTTTATGGCATATTAACCTCAATGGGTTATTTAATGCCAACAAAATTTTTATTGCTGGTAATATTTTGTTTTGTCAAAAATCTATTTCTGGTAATAATTTTTTCCTTCAAAAATGTATTGCTGATAATAATTTTTTTCAAAAAAGTATTGCTGGTAATATTTTTTCCTCAAAAATGTATTGCTGGTAATATTTTTTTACTCAAAAATGTATAGCTGGTAATATTTTTTTCCAAAATGTATTGCTGGTAATAGTTTTTTTCTTAAAAAATTTATTGCTGGTAATAATTTTTTACAAAGTATTTCTGGTATTAAAACCTATTTATACACTTTCATAGTGCTTTTAAACCAGTTTGGGGGTTAACTATTTGCCCATAGAAGGGACCCTCACATGTGCTACTACCCTGGGTCAGGGTGGACCTGGGAACACCAGTAATTAAGAGGTGGTTCCACGCTCCTCAAAACCTCCTGATCAGAGGTCTTGCTGTTGGACGTAGTTTATCGTCTTACCCAGGACGCTATATTTAAAGAAGAAAAACACATAACACACAATGTTATCATTCTAACAGTCATCCATAGTGGTAGGCACACCATTTTATGGGAATTGCTTTAGTACAGCAGGAATGAGGAAACTCAACAAGATTGAAAAAACATATTCACAAAATAATTAGTTCATTGTTTTGAAAAATCTTTTACCTTCTTCTATCCAGCTTAAATTTAGTAGGCAGTTAATCCTCCAACAAGACAATGACCAAAAGAATACTTTAAAACCATCTAAAAATACTTTAAAAAACATCTAATTATGGTTTAAGAAGAATATGCTTATGGTAATAGAATGACCTTCTCAATCACTTGACCTAAATCCAGCTGAACATATTTGCAGCATGAATTGAAAATTGCTATTCATAAATGGAAGCCATCAAATCTGACCAATTTTGAATGATTCTGCATAGAAGAATGGTTGAAAAATACTAGATGCAGAATCTATGAGCAGTGATTGGTCTCAAAGAATCCTCAATCAAAATATTAGTTGAGTTACTTCTGCAAAAGTCATTATGAGTTGAGTTATTTATGCAAGTCATTACAAGCATTGATAATGATGTAAATAAAATAATTAATAGTGTTAATTCTATCTTATTTATTATTAATTCACATATAAAAACATTTCACGAATACTAATTGAGTAGATAAATATCATCAAATTCAGAATTCTTAATTAGTAAACAAAGAAAATAATCTAGGGTTAAATACTTTTGCATAAAACCTATATATATATTTAGAATGTAAAAATTTTCTTTTTTTTTTTGTTAGGGGGAGATAATAATGGTTTAGTCATACAAGTCTTATTAATTAATCCATAGCTGGGGAGAGAAGAAGTGGATTCATACCTTTTCCAGAGATATTTGCATGTAAGTGGATATAATGAACCCAATCAGAATTGGAACTCAGCTCTCTAATTAAGATTTCTGAGTCATTATCCATTACAACACTCGGAATTGGAACTCAGCTCTCTAATTAAGAATTCCGAACCATTATCCATTACACCACTTGGAATTGGAACACAGCTCTTCAATTTAAAATTCCAAGCCATTATCCATTAACCCACTTGGAATTGGAACTCAGCTCTGTAATTAAGAATTCTGAGCCATTATCCATTACACCACTCAGAATTGGAACTCAGCTCTCCAATAAAGAATTCTGAGCCATTATCCATTACATTAATCACACATCCAAGCTTACAGCACTTGGTATTTCTCAGCAGTTACTCATCTAGATAAGGACCAGGCTTTATGTGGCCTTATATATATATATATATATATATATATATGTATGTATGTATGTTTGAATAAAAACAGACCACTTTAAGGTTCCATGTAATAAGTTATTTCACCACAACCCTTTTAAAGGGCTCTGGATCATCAGACTTTACTTCCAAAAGTTGAAATGAAAAATGAATTTACATTGAGCTCTCTGAATATCATCCTTCTTGGGTCTACCCATACAGATTACCTAGTTTTGCATAAACTAAATATATATATATATTTTTGTTTCAAACATATTTTATTGAATAATATCGACAAGTTTTGTCTATCTAAATTTTTATTAACTTTTACAAATTCTCAAATTAGTTGTTTTATAGAACCAAAGTTCATTTTTTTTCTCCCCAAAATACTTTCAAATGTTGCTACATTTTCTTTCAAGTATTTCATTTTTCTGTGTGTTTATGCAACTGCTTTTGGCTAATTCCAACATTCCCTTGTTTGCTGGAGACAAATTCAAGTCACTTAAGGTGATTTCATTTATAATGGTCAAACTAAATTTTTACATGTATTTTAATTTATTTTTAAATAAAAAAAATATACAAATGAAAAAATAAAAAATGAACTTTGGTATATTTACCAATTATATAAAACAACTGATTTGGAAATTGTCAATATTATTCAACAAAACATGTTTGAAAGAATTTTTGCTACTTATATATATATATATATATATATATATATATATATAAATAAATAACTAATTCAAATGTTATTACAATGGACACTTCATATTTGAAATAGCAGAGAAAAATAACAGCACTCATGGCCTGACGATTGCATCTAGCATGAAACAGACTGTCGCCTCTAAGTGTTTGCTATGTTCACTTATATATATATATATATAAGAAATATACCTTAAGATGTGCTATATTTATAGGATAAAGTGCTCAATATCAGAGATAGAGCATGTGTAAATATAAAAGTGAACATTGAAGTCAACACTTAGAGGTAATAGGCTGTTTTTGATGCTAGACGCAATTGTCAGCCACAATTTAAGTCTAGCATGAAACAATAAAAAGTATAAATTATTTTTTTAACTTAATATAAAAATAACAAAAAAACGAGAAAATTGACAGACATTTGCTGATACCTCCTGATGACTGGATCGAACAATTACACAAAGGCTCATCTACAAAACTCTAGAGTAGAGGTTCATCAATCACCTAAGTGACAAATTTTATATTTGTATTAATCTTATATATATATATATATATATATATATATATATATATAGATAGATAGATAGATATAAGAATTTGGCCTTTTACCACAGCATAGAAAGTAAGTTAATCTCATAGAATATTCACTTTTTTGTGTTATTATGTTATTTTTAATAATTTTGCTAGTGTTCTGGGGGTTAATTTCGGTAAGATGGAGCACCTCTCCATTTTCATTGTGGTACCAGATTTTAGCTTAGCATTTCTCAGTAGATTATTTGGACAAAGAGGCAATGCAAAATATGTCAGGGTGGATAAGTTCATAACCTTACACACAATTATTAACTGAAATTTGATCAGAAATTTTCATGTTTGATTGATTTGATTTGTAGCGTTTGTGAGAAAAATGTAAAAATAAAACTATATAAATTAAGATTTGGAAAAATAAACAATTTAGACAGGTTCAAATAATAATGGGTACATTATTAAAACATATTTTATTCTAGGTAGAAGCAAAATCTGTCTCTCTAGCAGCTTACAGGACCATGGTGCTGTTTCCCTATAAGAATATATTTTTCCCAGACATACAAAGAAACTGCAGCTCACAGTTTTCAATCTGAGAAAAGCCAAAACTCTGTTTCCTGTTCATGGAACATATCCTCATCTGGAACACAGTAGATGAATCCAGACCATTTGAATCCTAAAAATGGCTTCTCCAGACACAAGAGTATCTCCATATTATATGTAAGACCTTTCATTTTTGTTTCTCCTTAAACTCTACTTGATTTGAAGATTATGTGATTAATTTTTCTCTGTGTGGGACATGTATATATATGTATATATATTTTGTATTCTGACAATTAGTTTCAGACAAAATCAAACCTCTTTTTATTGAAAAATATCCTTACTGATTGTATAACAAATTAAAATAAAATTTAATTTATAATTTACAGAAAAAAGTAAAAATTACTCAGCATTAAAACATATATGATGTTATTAATCTACAAAGTTTCTGCATTTAACCATGTATAGTTATTAAGTTACAAAAATTTTATTCTCTTCAAGTAACTCACGTTCAAATAGAGTTGAGTATTTTTCTGTTAAATATTTGCATGCATTTTGTGTCTTTTATTACATCCTTGTGCCATATATAAATAAAAGGATAATGTATCAAGTAGTCAGTCTGTGTGATAGTCTTAGCATAAATAAAAGGATAATATATCAAGTAGTCTGCGTGATATTCTGAGAAGCAGTCTGATGTAGCAGTCTGAGTAGAAGTAGTAAGAGGTGTCAGTAAGAAATTTTTCTCTGTCTTGTCTATTTCCTGTCATGCGAAAACTGTTTTCATAAGAAGAAAATGGACTAAAAAAAAGAAAGGAAAACAATTTTTATGA